GATCTTGAATTTTTTTTTCTAACGAACTCTAACAACAACGAACATGTATATAAATGCGCTTGGGACTCATAAAAGGGGAAAGAGAAAAAAAGCGAGAAAGAAAGCAGAAAAGAAAAGAAAAGTTCGTACGTGGTACAAAGTAGTTCGTAGTAATTACGCGGTCTGCACTTTGAAAAAGTTCCCGAGGCGTGGATCTTTCGCGTTACTTATCCTTCCCTTTTTTTCTTTCTTTCTTTCTTTCTTTCTTTCTTTCTTTTTTTTTTCAGACACATTTTTCATAAGGTCTCGCGACTAAACCGGGCCATCTTTCATATCACGATGTTCGCTTTTCCACGACTCCCGGCGTGTCTTCTTTGAAACTTTGAAACGCTTCAAAGGTCCCTTTGGCAAAGTTGAGTACTCTCGAGAAAACTGTGACAAAATTCGAAGAAGTCCGTGACCAATCAACGAAATTGACGAAGCGAACATCTTTATTCCGTCGAACGTAAAATCGACTCGTTAATATTTCATATAATTATTTCCGATCGTTGATCTTTTCTACATTTACTTATCTGTCCCAAATTAAATCAAGTCCAATTAAATTAAGCGGTTTTTGTAATTGACCAGATATAAGTAAAAGAAGAATAGAAAGAGAGAGAGAGAGAGAGAGAGAGAGAGAGAGAATAGAAAAAAAAAAGTAACGCGGTTTAATTTACCTTCGGAAGGAAGTAAATTTCGACAACGAGTTCCGTTGTCAAGGGAGAGCTCATTAACGATAAAGCTAAGATAAAGTTTCCGTTGAGAGTCGTGCAATCGGATCGTCTCTGTACACTCAGGAAAGTCCAGCTTTCGCACCGTAGAGTAGTACTTGAAGTAGTACTTCGCAAATAAAAGGATAGAAGGACGCGCGTCGGAAACGATCGCGTTTGACTCGTTTAAAGTACTCTTCTGACGAGTACGAGTCGTGGAGATACAAAAGCGATATAAGAGAGAACGAGTATCAAAAAGAGAGAGAGAGAGAGAGAGAAAGAGAGATGTCTGTGAGTGACTCCTCTCACTCGAAGCTGTCTGATGGACCACCAAAAGGGTGTGAAGAAAAAAAGGGGCAAGCGAGATCCATTCGTTTCGGAGCTTAGGCCGAAGAACGAGAACACGATCGATGGCCCATTGCTACACCTTAGACCACCCACAGCGGTTCTCAAAATAATCCTTTGCCAATATCTGAGAGATCTCGAGATTATTTCAGGTTCAAGGTTTTTGCCTTAGTTAGCGACATAATGTATCTATATCTAACGTTTCAGTGTCTTTTTTCTTCATTCTTTTTTTTCTTTCTTTTTCTTTTTTTTTTCTTTTTCTTTTTTATTTTTTTTTCTTTCTTTCTTCTTTTAACAGCCGACAAACGTAATCTAAGTGTCAAAGAATATTCCATCTTTAATATATTCTTTTGATAATTGTTGAATTATTCTGATATAAATTCGGGCTAATTTGAGAACCATTGTCTTAGACTATTTTCTGTCTCCTTCTAAATTCTAAACCGTTACAACTACCAACGTTCGAGTTCCATTGCTTCAATTATTAACCGAGTATAGCTGTTTCCAGAGCATGCACCACATAGGTGCACTGACACGTTCCAAGGGCGGTCTCTTCGATTGCCGATTACCGGCCTTCTTTACATTCTTCTTCGTGTTTTCTTACTTTAAGAGGGAAAAAAATAGAAAGAGAAAGAGGGAGAGAGAGAGAGAGAGAGAGAGAGAGAAAGTGGAAGGTATCCATCGATCGTTCGTTTTCGTTAATCGTTAGTAATATCTTAACGATTATTTTATTAAATAATCAATCAAGAAAATATATAAGGATAAAGATATGATATAAATGTATCTATATCTACTTACTTAGTTCGTTGTACTTACATATATCCTATTAACGAATCAACAAGTATTATGCGAGTATGAGCTAACAATATCTCTCGTGACATAGCCACTTTTCGTCATTTTAGTATTTATTTATATTGGGGGAAAAAAAAAGAAAAAAAAAGAAAAAAAAAAGAAAAGAAAAGAAAAGAGTACTGGCGTTAACCTAAATACGAGAATAAGAAAGGAGGACGTATCCACTCTTTTGTGAAAAGTTGTTATCGACTAAAAGTATGTACATATTTGTCGCAGAAGTACCATAAAAGGAAAATTTCACGTTTGCAATTCTGAGTAATGCGAGAGATAAAAGTGACGTTGGAATATGACGTGTGGGTTTATCTACGGCGAGAAAACTTGCCGTCGCGTACAACGAAGATATGTGGAACGCTTAGAAATCGGGTCAGAGCCATAATCGTTCTTCCGAACAAAGTGAATATGTTCACGATACACGTAACGTCGTATCCGTTTTCTCTTTTCAACAAAGAAAAAGAAAAAAAGGAACAAAACAAAATGATCCAAATAGATGAAGAGCGAGAGAGAGAGAGAGAGAGCACGCGCACGCGAGAGAGAGAAAGAGAGAGAGAGAGAGATAGTTCCATAACGTTAGATCGTTAGACCGCCATCGTTCGTTTCGCATTATCGATTTGGTCTATGAACATGTCTAATGTCGAGTCTGATGCCATTAATTCTCATGTGTCATATGGTCCCTGGTGTCATCGTTGAAGGAAAACGGCGAGAACTTTATCAACGTCGTGGTATACATCGTTGTTAATTATTCTAAACTCAATCAATTTAATTTTGATACGATGTAAAGATAATAAAAGCAAATGTCATTGGATCGTTTAGATATGTTACCAGAAAAAGAAAGAAATTATTGAGGAGGTGAGGGGTAGAATAACAAACAAAAAACAAGCAAAAAAAAAAAGAGAGAAAAAAAGAAAAAAAGAAAAATAAACGCACCTCTTGTTCTTATAAAATTTCTCTCTCGTCTTTTATTCATTATTATTATTTATTTGCATAAATTCTCTTGCATTTGTGCAAAGAAATAATTAAAAATGAATATCTTTCAATAATGTTAAAAAAAAAACATACGATAAATTCGTTCGCTTATAAGTACTTCCGTTTATATATAGAAACCTATTATCATGCATTTTTCAAACGAGAAAACGCATGGAGTCCTCCTTCCTGTTTCTGTCGTTCGAGTGTAGCTTTTCAAGGGCGGGTTGCAGTCGGCCCCAATTATTGATCCTTCAGAAGCGACTACCGGGTCTCCCTCGCAAACACTCGGACAAAACTTGAGTGGGTTATAGGAGGAGTAAAGCTGAGAGAGCTTGCCGTTTCTAGGAACTTCCCGGGGGTTCTGATTTCTTCTCTCTCTCTCTCTCTCTCTCTCTCTCTCTCTCTCTCTCTCTGTCTTTCTTTCTTTCTTATTCGTATATAGAAAGAGAAAAGTAGCTCGTTCTGTAAGCTTGACGAGTTCGAGCATCAAGAAACAAAAAGTTTTAGGTAAAAATAGCTAAAAAATGCGTTCTCCTTTTCTTTCTTTTTTTTTTCTTTTTTATTTTTTTTTTTTGACGTGATCGGTTGAAAAGAAAAGGAAAAAGAATGAGGGAAAAAATGGGAGAAAAAAAGAGAGAAAAAGATAGAGCCACATTATCGTTTCGATGACACATTAAATTTGCTAAACATAACTTTGATAGGCTCGTTTCACGTTTATGAGTCTTAGCATCATGTTAAGATCTTCAGCATTATATCTGAGGGTCGGTCGAGAAGATATTTAATCGTTTGCGGAGCCCATGGTACAGCCTATTTCTCTTCCTTCTCTAGCTATTCTCTAACGCGGAAACAAATTGCTCCGTTGGTGAGTCTCGCCCGAAATTGCTTCATCCTATTACGTAAGCGATCGTATGCTCTCCTTTTATCTTCGTTTCTGTGTTCGTAGTTAGGTATCGGAAATGTTTAGGGCACCGTGTTATTGCTAGCGATACTTTAACGTTCCTAAGCTTTAAGAGAGAAAAAGGAATTAGGAAGGTTTCTCCTTAAGCTTTATCGATCTTTGTTAACATTTTTCTCATTCTTTATTCCTTTGTCTTTTCTCTTTTTCCTTTTTTTCCTTCTCTTTTCTTTCGCATTAATCTACACATTGCAAAATGCAATAAATAAAATGGTTAAATAAAAGGTACATAAATTCGACAAAATTAAATTCATTTCTCTCGTTCAAATTTAATATGTTCGTATTAACGTAACGAAACGGACCGAGATAATTGTATCAAATCAATCACAATAACGATCTAAGTTTCATTTAGGTACGTAGTTGATAACATTCCTTGACGTGTACGAATTGGTTTACGTCCATTTAAATATGAACTACGAACTTTAATATTCTACTCGGCAAAAATCGAAGTCTGAAATCGAAACTCTTGGGTATGACTCAATCGATCGGAACTTCCAAAACGATATTCAGAGTGGAAACTGCTGATCCATATTTCACTGGTCACATCCCATGACCAAATTTCATTCTCATAACGTCAGCAATTGATTATTAAGTAGATAATAACAAATCGAGAAATTTGAAAAAGTAAGTAGTTTCCTTTTTTTTTCTCTTTTTTCCTTTTTATTTATCTTTTTTTAACGACGAGAGAGAGAGAGAGAGAGAACGAGAGAGAGTGTTCTAAATTGATAAAAAGGAATGAAAGCTAGCGAGTATAGCTACCGATTCATTAGGCATGTGGGAGAGAATAATGTTCACTATCGGTATGCTCCATAACTTACAATGATGGCACGTTGCTCCGTTACAACTTGGTTTATCATCGACATTGATTAACATAGTACCATTAATCTGTAGCAAATGGAGATTAAATGGCCGTTTTATGTGCGAATGTAGAACCAGTCGATTGATAAGACAAGAGATCCTTTCATAGAAAGTATTTAGAGCATAAGTCTATATAGCTAATGTTTTCACTTTGAAACCTTATATATTTTTTTTATCGTTGGTCATTCATTATACGTTAGAAATATTGTTATTGTAATGAAGGATTTAACACAAAGTAGAAAGAAAGGGAGGGAGAGAGGAAGAGAGAGAAAAAAATAGGAAGAGAGTAATAGACTTTTATATCGATTCGTTCGAATGCTGTTCGCTATATTGTTTTCTTTTTTTTCTTTTTCGTAAAATTCTATCGTACATTTTATTGCATCGATGCGAGGATACGTCCTACGCTTAAGCGTGCATACATACACACACACACATACATATATTATTATTTTAATTCAGCTTAAAATTAATTTAACGAGCATCGTATCGTGTAATACGGAAGCACCGAAATGATTACAATAAATAATATTTTCAAGGAAGGCGATATTGATTTGCGTTGCGAAGGCACAGCTTTTTTAAATTAATTTGAAAGAAAATATCCTTCGAGAGGGATCCTATTCCTTGGTCTCAGTCACCGGTCATCATTTCCATGAATTCTGTAAAAATCAAATGCAAATAGTGATTGAGTTCATTTAATCTAAAAGAAATTTGTTTTCTAGGTAGATGACTTCTACATACGTCTGATCACAATTCGTCCGTTACTACTACTACTACTTTCGATCTGTCGAGAACCGAGGCGGGTATCATACGACATATTACTACTTCACAACGTTCCTATTTACTTCGTTTACGATCGCCATAGATGCCATAAGTCAATAATTTTTCGTTTTATTATATCGAATCGTAATATTCGAATCGATCACGAATATCACTTTATTACTTTTCTTCATAACGCGTTCAATCACCAATGGCCCATTAATTATTTTACCTTTTTTTTTCGGATTATAAACTGTAAATTATTATGTTCTGCTCCAGATACGTGAAACAACTGAATATAAAGAAGGTCGTCTCTTTGTTACTTTTAAAGTAAGAGTTAATTAAATACTTTTATTACTCTCATTACCGTACATCTAAATGTATACATTTAATTTACACACAAATGCATATTTTATTATGGCAAATTTAGAAATGTCAACGAAGAAAAATTTCACGCGTTTAAGATCGAAAATAAAATTATTTCGAAATCGTCGAACGAATAGATGTTCTATATAAAGATAAATTGAAATATATCTCGAAAGTCTAAGGATGTATCTTTTTGAAACATGTAAAGATTTCGCGTAACCCAACTTTAAAAGAAGAATGGAAGGGAAAGTTAAAGAGCGGATAACGTTCGATCGATTTCGGCTCGACCAACCATATTTTCGTTTCTATACCTTTTAACGAGACTTCCGCATTTATTATTTCTCTTATCAGCTTCGTTATATGCGAAAAGAAAAATTAATTTTTTTTCCTATCAAGTCAGTACATACATACTTATACACACACACACACACACACACATACACGATCACACTCTATATCTATATTTTCATTTTCTCATAATATAAAAGAAGCAAATAAATTCAAATAGAGTTATATATCATTTATAAATTTCAATTTTACATTTCCATAACGATCTGAACTTTAAGAAATAGCTTTTATATGTTGATATTATTATTATCATTATCAAATTTATGATAAGACTCGTTTCAAGCTCATCCATATGAATACGTGTACTTGATTTATTTAAGAAAAAAAGAAAACCATACATAATTCTTTCTCTTAACTTTTGCACGATGATTTGATGTAAGAAAAGTAGACATTGTTTACCTTTTTTTTTTTTTTTTTTTTTTTTTGCGTATACTCATAACTGAAAATTTCGTTGTATATGTTTTTTTGCAAGTGCAAGTCGTTAACAGTCCAATTTGAAGCGTCCGTTGTAGCTACTTAGAAATTCACACGTATAATATGTAAAACGTGGTAAACGAGGAATATTCGCACAAAGCCGAGCGTGAATAAAGGTCGGAGTGTAGGTAGAAGTTCCTTTCATTCGTGTAAAGCTTTAGGCTAGAGATATTACGCGTAATTAAAATTTTAGCTTTTGCATCTGATATAGGAGAATATATATATATATATATATATATATATTTATATATATATTTATATATATCTATGTGCATATACATACGAGTGGTCTTCTCGTTATTAATGTTAAATTCGTGGAAGCTTTTAATTTCAAAGAAATAAAGTACTGCTTTGCCTCTTAATCTTCGTACTTCAGTCAACGTTCATCCTTATTGCTATAATATTATATAAATAAAATAAATTGAAACGCTTAAAACTCACCGTCAAAATCAACGGTACCGGAACCGTCGGTGTCAATTTCAGCGATCATGCCGTCCATTTGATCAGGCGTTATTTGATCGTCCAAAGCTGCCAAGATTTCACGAAGTGAGCTGGTCGGTATATAACCATTTCCTTCTTTGTCGTATAAACGGAAAGCTTCTTTGAGTTCCTTTTGAAGCGCCTCGTCGTCCTCTTCTTGAAAATGCGTTGCCACTCGGTAAAACGAATCAAAATCCAGTTTACCGCTTCCTAATAAAAAAAAAAAAAAAAAAGAAGAAGAAAAACAACAAAACATAAAATCGACAATTCACACGTTAATTAATATCTCGCATCGATATCGGAAGTGTACGAAGCGTATTGTCTTCATATTTTAATATACACGATGATATATATATATATATATTTATTTATTTATTTATTTATTTTAATTTAACGAATATGTTCGATTTTCTCTCGTCCAACTTAATAAACGTAGAGAAAGATAGTACTGCGTTCGGAATGAAATCATTATCGAAGTTCATACGGTAAACTCTACATGTGTAATACATATGAAGCGACGGAGCACGGATAGCAATGGTATTATCTGCATGATAATACTCTCTGTGTACACCTGGAAAGCATAAAGGATGTGGAGTTGCACGAGCATTGTCTCGATTTCGAGGCAATTCAGAGAACCAAATCTAATTTAAGGACCGATTTAGAGGCTCAGCCGTGCTACAATGGCTAAGCACCTGCGAGTCTCGTTCGTAAACGACGTCGAACGCTGATAAAGCCGTTCCATTGTTGGTTTGAAACGAAGAAGGAGAGAGAGAGAGAAAAAAAAAGAGAAGAAAAGAAAAGAACAAAAAAAGAAAGAAAGGCTATATATAGAAGAAAGGTAGGAACTTTTTGATAGCCATTCGCTACAGTTTAATCCGTTGGATTTATACGTACGATATTTTTCGACGTTACATCTTCGATTCCAAATTGATCATGATATAATATGAATAACTTTCGATAGACAAAAGTAACAGAAAGAGTTTAATCGGATTCGACGTTTTTAGAATTTCATATAATACCTATGCAAAAGAAATCGCGTAATTTACATCCCGTTACTTTATTTGAAATTTTCTTTCTATCTATCTATCTATCTTTCTTTCTTTTTTTCTTTTCTTTTTTTTCTCCTTTTTCTCTTCTCTTTCTCTTTTCCTTTTCTTTTTTTTCTTTTTTTTTTTTTTTTTATAAGACGAAATGAATTTTTATCTCTCAAATTTATAATATTTCTTTATTTTTATACAGAAACGTCATTTCTACGGTAAGCTCTTCTAGTGATACGATATTTATCACGAAACTGAATTGATCAGATCTGTACATTCCATAACTACTTTATTTATTATAGAGAGAGAAGGGGTGGGAGGGAGGGAGGGATGTTAATCCCCCTCAAAGCGGTTACTCGAACGTTCCGTTATGATACGATCTTAATTAATATCTTACGGTACGATATAAATTACGTCGAAGTTCAAGCGACTTTTCTAGCTCGTAACGAGTTTCTCGTTCGTTAATAGTTTCGCTTGTTCGATCGCAATGTCCTACTCTACTTCTTCCTCTTATTTCCTTCTCTTTTGCAAACTCGATGAATGAATTTTTTTTCGACGTATATACGAGAAAAATAACTCGTCGTGTTTTGAAAAGTAAATCAACACTTTGTTATTCAACGTTTCGTTATTACTTTTTTTTTTTTTCCGATCGACAGATATCATCGATTTTTGAAATTTCCATAAAAATACCAATGAAAAATGAAACTCACCGTCTTCGTCTTCCTGTTTCAGTAATACTTCGAGTTCATGGTCGTCAAATGTGTGTCCTAATGTATTGAGAATCGTTCTGACCTTTTCCTTTTCGATCCTTCCGGATTTAGTGGAGTCAAACATGGAGAAAGCTCTCCTGAGCACTGCGAAAGTAATAAAAAGAGATTTCACTCGTTGAAAAATAAAAAACAGATATATATATATATATATATATATATATATATATATAAATATTTAAAAAAGAGACGAAAAAACAAATAAAAAATGAGAAACGTCTCGAGATATTACAGTCATTGCTAATTCTATTTTTCACCCAGGAAAACTAAGTTAATTCCAATTATAACGGCAACGTCATTGCTGTTTTCAATTTGTTTATACATACATAGGTTATGCCAGAACGTGCGTATCGAAATAACGTGGCAGAGTCAATCAATGGTTTATTTTTCATTGGCAACCATCTTCGACATGGCTCACTTCCTCCTTTTAAACTTGTCTGTCGGTTTACTCCTCAGCTTTCACGCGAAATCGTATAGTTTAACTCGTGATATTAGTATATCGAATAGATTAAAAAAAAAAAAATCTAACATCATTCTTCTTGTATTATGGTATAAATACGAAAACAATGATATTATGTAATAATTGATTTTTGTTTTCTTTTTCTTTTTTTTGTTTTTTTTTTTTTTTTGTTTTTTTTTTCTTTCCTTTTAACACTGGAACTTTCAGAAAAAAATCACGAAAGAGGATTCCTGAATGTGTATACATATATAATTGTAATATTATAGCGAATCTGAATTTTCGCGGATTTTGATATACATGTATACATATATTCGAAAAAGTATTTTAATGGGATATTCAATTAACGTATGGCGGATGTAATATCTCAAAAACAAGTTGCACGTCGCAATAACAAATCTTAATGAAACACTGCTGTCATTGTCAAGTCAGTCGTTCAAAGACACGGCAGTTACGCATCTCGTAACATAAAGCATCTGCAGACCGAGGATCTATATATCTATTTTACGACCTTATTCCGATCAGTAGATACATGATACTTGTTGACGTGAAAACGTTAGATAGACATTGTTTACACGTGTTTATAATTTCTATTTATCCTCCTCTTCAACTATAACTAATAATCCCTTTGCGTTTTTGCAAAAACATTTCGCGATCGTCATTAATCAAATTGCATTAACTTACCCAATTGACTCTTTCTCTCTCTCTCTCTCTCTCTCTCTCTCTCTCTCTCTCTTTCTCTCTCTCTCTCTCTCTCTTTCCCTCTATCCATTTCTCTTTCTTTTTCTCTTTATGTTTCGCGTGCATAGTCTCGTGAACTTCGACATTGCACGTTAATTACATAAGTCGTGAGAAAATAATGTACGAAGTCATCCGATATAACACGCGATTACCACTTACTTTGTACTTGTTCCTCGTCCTGAAACAGATCAAATCAAATGAATGATGAAGAGTTTAAAACGAGCTTGGAAATGATAATGAGAAAAATTATGTAATACATAGAGTAAGAGGAATTAAAAGCAGTCACGAGAGCGAATCACAAAGGATTGAAAGAACATTTTTCAAAAGTCGTTCGTGTTAATGAGACGAAAGGTTTGTCAGTTTCACTCACGTTTTTCAAAGTTCTTAAATACATATATACATACATACATACATACATACATATATATATATATATATATATATACATACATATATACATAAATTTTATGATCAAAAGTATGGTACCGTTGTACAATTTGTCCGAACGAATTTACACTATCGATCGTGTAGTATTAATGATGTATAATAATACAAAAATAAAAGAAAAAGAAAGAGAGGAAGAAAGAAGAGAAATGAACAAAAACATAAATTCCCTTTTGGCCCGAAGAAAAAGCGATAAGGCTCGTAAGGACGGTGGTGGAATCCGTCGGAACTTTGCCAAAAAACGAAACTCGTTGCTTTCTTGTTTTTCTTATTTTCTCTCTCTCTCTCTCTCTCTCTCTCTTTTTTTCAATCCATATAAGCACAACAACGCACAAAAAATCACCATCGAACGAACCATTTTATTTAGTTCTTTCCTTCCCCTTCTTATTTTTCTTCTTCTTCTTCTTCTTTTTCTTATTCTCCCTTTTCTTCCTTTTTTTTAGTCGTCAGAATTCAAAAAAGGTAAAGTTCGGAACACCTTCTTCCTTTCTTCTTCTGCTTCTTCTTCTTCTTCTTCTTCTTCTTCCTCTTGTTCTTCTTCTTCTTCTTCTTATTCTTCTTCTTCTACTCCTCGCCACTTCTCGCCGTTCGTTCCGACACTAAACGTCCAAGCTGTGCCGAATATCTTTTATAAGCTCCGACGTGGAAAGACGAAGCTGAGAAATCTACTCCCCCATCCCTCCACGGGCCGAACGAAAAGCGGTTCTCTTCAAGTCGTGCCTCTTCTTCGGTTCTCGTGACGCCAATCTTCTCCTCAGCTATAATGCTATAGTTCACCCTGAAAATGTTCAACCAATCGGAAGAGGTCATGAATTCAGCGTTACTCTCTCTCTCTTTCTCTCTCCCTCTCTCTCTCTCCCCTTCTCTCTCTCTCTCTCTCTCTCTTTCTCTCTCTCTCTCTCTCTTTCTGAACACTCATTCGTTTTACTCTTTTTAAAAAGAAGAAAAAAAGAAGAAGAAGAAACCTTCAATAAGTTCCTACCATGCACTCTTAAAGGGATATTTCTTTCGAATTGCTAATTTTTCTTCTACTTTACTCCCAAAGTTAGTTTTTTGGAAAGATCTTGGAAATTCTGCCGAAGTAGTGAATATATCTACTTTGCTCTTAGTTCTTCCTTTCGTTTTTTTTTCCTCTTCTTCTTTTTTTTTCGTGAACTGAACTCTTGAGGACCGGCAGAGAATAAAAATGCGTTACGAAACGATGGAAATATTTCATGTTAAAGAGCTCGCTCTTGGATGTCGGTCGTGATTGTGCAAAGGGTAAAAGACAGAGACAGAGAGAAAGAGACAGAGAGAAAGAGAGAGAGAGAGAGAGAGAGAGAGAGAGAGAGAGAGAGAGAAGAGGAGGGTGGGAGAAAACATGAGGAGGAAAGAAGTGGGGACTCATGCTATTTCAAAACATTCCAGGCTATGATACTGCTGCTTTCCATTGGTCTACCACGTCGCTCGATGAAACGTATCGACGATTCTTTTTTATCGGTTACCAAGAAATTTAATATCCTCAAATTCCTACCGATCTTTCGAAAATTAGTTCCCGTTGAAATAATCGAGAGTTCACTCGTCTTTTCTTACACCCTTATTACTTATGTACATACCTAACGAACGTTACACATTTTTTTCTTCTTTCTCTACACCCCCCCCCCCCCCCCCCCGACACCCGCCTACTCTCCTCCGCCCCCAGCCGACCCGATCCTTCACGTTCTTACGTTTAATCGCTATAATAAACTTAGATACGATTGATATATGATCGCATAGATTAAGATTGATATCCGAAAAAAACGTTGTTAACGAATGTTATATGGAAATTAAATTATCCGTTGTGTATACGTGCCAAGAAATGTACCTTTTATTTGCGAGAAAAAAGAAACCAAGGATTTCTTCGTTAGCTCGAATATTTCTTCAACGATTTGGCAACGTGTTAGATAAATCAAATCAATGATTCATTATTTATATCTAACAATCGATCGATAATTCCGTCGATTCTTTTAAAACGACTGAAGAAGAATTGGAATTAAATTGGACGAATGATTAAAATAAAATAAATGAAATAGAAATAAAGAAATTGTCTAAAACTACGAGCGTGTCTCGAGTCGACTATTAAACTCTAATTAAATAACTCGTTACGAATAAATCGTAACATTGAAACTTTCCTCGAAGCTGCCCCTCGAGTTTCACTGTGTTCGGCTAATGAGATGTATATTCCAGGTAGTGCACGTTAGCAAGATTGTAGGTACGAGAGAGAACAAGGTCGGTAAATTAGTAAAGCTCACGACGTCGTATTTCTTTTCTCCCTAACTCGATACGATCGTATCAAGAGCCGTGAAAACTAACGGCTGTACCCATTTTACATCGGTAACTTGTAATTAAACGTCATTTACTACAGTCGCACGAACCAATCTATTATTTCGCGAATTAACTTTTACATTGCCTATAGAGAAAAAAGAAAAAAAGGAAAGAAAAAAAAGAAAGAAAGAAAGAAAAGAAAAAGAAAGAAAAAAAGGAAGAAAGAAAAGAAAAATCAACGAACAACGAACAAATGACAGAGAGCAAAAAAATTGTATATTCATTTATTTACAATTGTTACATTTATTTAGAATTAATCAAAATTTAATACACTAACTTCATTAAGATCTAAATACGAATGATCAAAATTGGTCATTCCCATTTCGTTTCTATCATACTTTATGGAATCACGGTATATCCACGAGTTAGAAAATATATTTAACGAAAGTATTGCAATTAAAATGTTCGTACGTCGTTATTATTTTATTGTATAAATTGAAACGCGAATCAAATTGGGATTCTTGTTAATCAAGATTTATACAGAAAAGGCAACATTTCTTTTCCTCTTGGGGTACGCAACGTATGACGGAGCCTTAACCAAGAACGTGGCAGACGGTAAGAGCTATAATTATCTCTACGGATCTACCCACGCGAGACATACCATTTCTCTCTCTCACTCTCTCTCTTTCTCTCTCTCTCTCTCTCTCTCTCTCTCTCTCTCTATTTCTCTCTCTCTCTCTCTCTATTTTTTTTCGTTTTATTTCTCTGTCTTTCTCGCTCTTTCTTGAATTATTATTTGAACAAACCTTGGATATTTTTCAACTCTGCTATATTTAGCAGGAATTCTTGGTCCTAAATCGTTATCGATAAAAATTAGACGACAGAACTTATAACAACTATCCTTTTCTTCATTCGTTTCTTTCATCGTTCAAACTCGTTCGATCGAAATACAATCTTTACGTTTTTAAATTCTTCTTTCACTTATCGTTATATTTTGAAGTAAAAAAAAAAAAAAAAAAAAAATATTATCAGTTTCGAGATAAAGTTGTGCCTTTACACGTTTCCAGCTCTCATTCCAAGCACATCGTGCCATCCTCGGATTTATGACTCTTCGCCGAATCGATGGAGTTAGTTTCAACAAACTATACTCTCTCTCTCTCTCTCTCTCTCTCTCTCTCCGCATTTGCGTTCTCGTCGGATATTCAAACCGCCGAATCTGCATGGTTTTCGGATATTCGTATCTACTACGAACCGAGTTGGGAGTCGTTTTCGATGTAGATGGAGGAAGTAATTCCCAGGCCCTTCATCGTTCAACCTTGCTTCTGAGATAATAACGATGGAGAGAACAATTTTGCAGAATCATCTCTATTTCCATGTTTCCTTTCTTCTTCTTCTTCTTCTTCTTCTTCTTTTTCTTCTTCTTCTTCGTACTATTCCTTCTCTTCCTATTTGTATAATCTGATCGTTTGTACCTAACGGTATCACAGTTTCATAATTGAAATTGCATCGTATTCTATTTGCCAACCGGTTTGTAATTATTTTCTTTAAAATCGATACGTCTCTCTTTTTATATCTTCTTTTATTTCTCTACCTTTTCGATATTTTCATTCGAATCCTTAGTCTCGGAGCGTAGTCACGATATTAAAAGGGAAATGAAAAGAAAGAAACTTTAGCTGGATAATAGAACGAGACCGAATAATAATAATAATAATAAAAAAAAAAAGAACGTTGCTAGAAAATAGATAGAAATAAAGAGGGATACAGATCAAAGAGAGTAAACCACAAATGATTCCGTGGCATCATTAGCTTGTATACCGTGAAACAATAGCGAGTCCCAGGGCAAACTAACGAAACATGGCAGTTGTCGTTCCTTCAACATTCGGTCTTTCCGGTTCGCCTAATTAATCTCTTTCTTTTCTCTTTTTCTCTTTTTCTCTTTTTTCTCCTCCCTCCTCCATCTTCTTCCAAAACTGCAAACGTTTGCTACCCTAACATTTTCATTTCGCTAAAGCAAAAGAATCCTTGTTTTTACTCATTCGCGTGATTTCGAAAATGCCACTTGGAAAATCTTAATGAATATAGGTATATATATATATATATATATATATATATATATATATATTTGTGCGTGTGTGTGTGTATATTATATAATACATAGAGGTAGGTAAGCATATAGGTTCCTGTCTTTCGTGAATTCATGCTTCGCGAATTCTTATCCGGTTGAAGAGAACATTTTTGCCGGTGTACATGCTCGCGTTTTCATTGAAAATATGAACAGAAAAAAAGAAAAAGGAAAAAGAAAGGAAACCGCCGAGAAGCTTTTCCACGTTTCTGTTGGTGTAATAATACAAAAGAATAAGAAAGACTATGCTTTACGTGCGACGAGAACGACGAGGTCAAGGAAATGCATTTCACTGTCCAATTTGATTCTTCCGTTTGTACTTTTTTCTTTTTATTTTTTTCTTTTTTTTTTTCCATCTTTATTTTTATTATTATTTTATTTTTTTTTTATTCTTTTTTCTCTTATATACGTATATAAACACCTAAGTACTTTTCATTTCGTTGATGCATTTTTCGCTCGTAAACACGATCGTTCGACATATTTCTACAACGTTAAACCTTCTATAGTTTCTCTTCCCTATAAATGGTTACACGCTTAATATCGATTCTCTTGCCTTCCACTAAATCGAATTTATAAGTGACACATGCAAAGAGTACATAGAAAAAGATTGCATAACGGTCAGGTATTATTTTAATCATTTATACAGATAAAAAAAAAAAAAAAAAAGGAAAGATAAAAAATAAAAGAAAAATAAAAAATATAAAAAGAAAGAACATATTTGGATTTGATGGTAAAGTAAAAGTAAAACTTGAATCTGCAATGAATTTTTTATTTCTATCGTGGTAATATTCCCGAAAGCTCGTTCGCAACGAATATTTCGAATTCTTCTTTTAGCCGATACAAAAAAAAAAAAAAGAAAAAAGAAAAAAAAGAGAAAAGAAATAAAAATAAAAAAGAATAAAAACCAATACAATCCGGATAATTTCAATCTGCTAGGCGCATCGATACATCCATTCTACAATAAAAATGGTATAGGAAATCCATCCATTCGAAGGCGAATCTATCTAGATTTTCTTCGATAGCACGATGATGAGTTTATTGAAAATATCGAACGTCCTTTGTTCTTGTTATAATCGAGTCGATTTTGCGAAAGACCACGAAACTTACATATATACGTGAATTTTATAACGGTGGAAAAAGAAGAATGTATTAAATCGACAAGAAGAGATCGTTAGAATTCTAACGTATCGCGATAATGCGATATATTCGATAACGCCTTTGACAAATCCTTTTTGCTTACTCCAATTTAAAATCTCTTTTCGCTGATTCAAAGAGATATATCCCGTCCTTGTGTCCCAAACCGTTTTTACGTTGATTTATTTATAAAACGAAGTTTACTGCGAGTCGCGGGCGTTCATTTGAAAATACTATCGTCGAATTCGATTCTCCGAGAAAGGTATTTATCGCGAGATATCGATAAAAAAAAAAAAAAAACACAAAAAAAAAATTAAAAATAAAAAAAACAGAAAAATAAATAAAGGAAGAAAGAAGATTAAAAAAAAAAAGAAAACGATTCGTAGCTTTCCTGATTTTCTGATATGAAAGAGATTTCTGATCAACGATGACCCACTTTTTACATCTTCCTAAGTTCCATATCGACTGTCGGAAATAAGATTACTTTTGGATTTTTCCTCTTTTACACCGACTGTTTCCTTTCTCCAGATTTTCGTCCAACTCAGGTCTACAATTTCCATAGAAAAAAAAAAAAACTTGTTTGATAAGAATCAAACGTTTAACGGATCGGAAAAATCAAGAGAGCCTTCTATTTGGGAAACATATTATTTCAAATTCAACGAATAAAATCGTAATGTGTCCGTAAAACGATTTTTCGCACGGTTCGTTGTTCTAACGTAGAAACGATAAAACTGTTAAGAGATAAATGTTTACACGCGATATTATATTGTTTAGATTTCTGTTTCCGGGTAGATCTCGTTTCGGGCCGACTCGATGATACCGACTCGTAAAGATGATTCATTCGAGAATAATAAGATTGCCGAAACACTGCGGGCGCATATTTTGGGGGAGTTTTACGAGCAACGTTACGATCATAAAGCAACACGAATTCTTAAGTGTAGTGCGGAGAAGAAAACTCCATCCAATTTCTCGTAGCTTATTCTTACGAGAGACAATAAAACAACGTTGGCAAATGAGGATTATTATTTCAAGCGGACAATATGGCCGCCCACGGTGATACCGTGCTGATGTCTCATTTTTTTTTCTTTTTTCTTTTTTTTTTTTTTTTTTTTTTCGAAACGTGTCCGTCAAGAGAACGAGAATTACGAGCCGATAATTTAAACTCGTAGCTATCGTTCCAACTTGAAAATTTTTCCCGCGTTTTTCTTTCTACCCTTTTGACCGTCCTTGCTGATTCTTGCGGAATAAAATTTCATTTCTGGCGTTGTGATTTCACGCACGCTTACACGCGAGCAACGAATATAATCGAGTTATAAGTCTCTCATTTTCTTTTGGAAACATTTCACAAATGGCTTAGCGTGTTTCAAATGGGGGAAGGGATGGGGAGCGAAAAGAGATTTTTATTCAATCTTAACGGTATATCTTGTTTTTCTATTTCCTTTTTTATTTTTTTTTTCTTTTCTCTTTTTTTTTTCTCATCGTGCACGCTCGTCTACGCTCGACTATGTTCGAGGGAATTCGAAGAAAAAGCTATGATACGGGTTCGACCTGTCTGATCCGTTATCATTGTTCAAGTAGATCGTATCTTCATGACATCTAACCAGTAATATTTGTTTTGTTTCCATCAGGCACGCAACAAACCAGCCGATGGAGTTGGCCACGTGAATCAGAAAGGTGCGACGGGTCAAAAGGCACCGTTAGCGGCTGGACAAAAGGGGGCTCCTGGTGCCAAGGTCGCGACAAAGCCAGCGCAGAAGCCAACAGCTCAAAAAGGGCAGGTCAAAGTTACCCCTAAGGCTGCTTCCGTTAAAACGGGAAAGAACAAAAAGAAAGGCCAGAGACAACAGTACGATCTCATCGTCACCATAAATCTGGTAAGTTCGTTAAAAATGAATAAATTTTGGAGAGAAAGAGAGAGAGAGAGAGAGAGAGAGAGAGAGAGAGAGAGAGAAAGAGAGAGATTATAAAAGCATATAATCTCAATCCCATCGTGCTATATTAATTGCGCGGCTTTAATATTCTTCTAATTTGCATATCAAACTTTTGAACCTCCATCAAAGTAACAGAATGAATAGTTATGATGATAGTTATAACATATTTCGATAGTTTCGATTATTGAAATTGAATATAACATTGGAAGGATAAAAAATAAAGGAAAAAGTATAGAGTAATAATTGTTCATTAAAATCAAATTCACGTAGTTACATATGCATATATATATATATATATATATATATATATATATATAATGTATGTATATATGTATGTATATATGTATATATATATGTATGTATGTATATATGTATGTATTTGATATATGAAAAAGTATACGTCTGACCATAAATTTATTTATCTACTGAACGATCAACGTTTAATCGCCGATAAACGTTTTGCTCGTAAAATTTTCGATAGGTATGTTATATGCTCTATTCATCAATATAATTTGAAATTATTCTTTCTTTTAATTTTTCTGTTAACTCGAAATATAATTAATATTTCAAGATCTACATTTTGAAAAACAACGATTAACGTATAAGCACTTTTTCTTCGACAACGAGTAAATTTAATGTATTTATTATTAGAAATAAATAATTCCTTCTTACGACTGTTTTAAAAATGACATTTTAGTTTACTTTTCTCTCTTTTCTTTTTCTTTTTTTTTTCTTTTTTTTCTTTTTTTTTTTTTTTGTTGATAACAATTTTATAATGAATTTCTAATTATTCAAATTAATGAAAGAAAATATTAAATCATAAGATCATTATTTAATTCATTGTAACGATCATATGTGAAATAGATCTTTAATATGTGTATGTTTCGAGCGTTTTAGCTTTTAAAAGTTTGTCAAATTACTGAGACACGCTTTGTATCGCATTAATTTCTGAAAACGAGGCAAGCGTATATAATATGATTCAGTAAGCAGAAAGAAAGCTAACGTCGAAATGAAAGCCGACAGATGGTACTATCGGATTAATGTGGAAAACATTTGGAACGTACATACGTGAAATTTATCGATCCCTTTGCTTAGCAAGGGAGAATGCAATTAAAATTTTTTACAAGCCGAACTTCGTTAATTGATGCACCGTAACAACTGTGCCAGTGGTAGTTACGTACTAGTTTCGTTCCGTACGTTGCTCTAACGAAAAAATAAAAAAAAGCAAAACAAAAAGAACAAAAAAAGAAAAAAAAGCATATGAAGATAAAGTCGATCCTACGAAAATTCCCTATCGATTAATGTACATATATATATATATAGAGAGAGAGAGAGAAGAAGTATACGATATTTCTGATCATTTATTTACAGTCGAACGAGTACAATATGATTTTCATTGTTCAGACTCTGTAATATTATTTCGTGCTTTAGTAAACAAATGAGGAATTTAAATCCGGAAATGTTAATTGGATTGAACTATGGTAGGTAATAAAATGGTTCACAAGAATCTCAGATTTCTACGTCGTGTCATTCCAAAAATAGTTCCAGACAGCTTCCTTCTCCTCCTCTTCTTCTCCTTCTCCTTCTTCTACTACTACTATTACTACTACTACTACTACTACTACTACTACTACTTCTATTTCGTCTTCTTACAAACATCTCGTTACAAACGAAGTGAAAGTTTCGATTTAAAGTCAAAGTCTTTTTTAGAAGATGCTTTACCGAAATAGAATAGCAATCGATAATGTAAAATTAGATCGAAACAATGTTATATATATATATATATATATATATATATATATATATATATATATATATTTCTAAATAGACATCTATGAATAAAAAAAAACAATGTATGTATTATTTATAAATAGATTACAAAATATCAGTGATAGAAAATGAATGGATGGATTCAAATTTTCATTTGTCACTCGACCGAATTGTTACTTAAGACGTGTATTTATTTCACGTCTATTTACTTTACGTGTTACATTGCAAGAATAGAACAAAGAACGCATTGGTATGAATGAAATGTGCTGCCAGTAGTAAAGATCAATGTTGAAACGAAAGCAAGTGTAAATGACAAATTGATGAGAAATATTCTGTTCCTTCTTGTTAATAATCGTATACACGAGTCATTCGACGTTTGGCAATGAGCGTAGCGTTACAACCGGCACACCGAAACGCTATTATAAGGAGAGAGAAGACACCGCCTGCCATTTTCTTGTTGCCAGCCGATCGTGGAGGGGCAATGACAGTTAAAAACAGCCGAAGGTTGACCAAAGACATATTCCGACATCTTTTGTCTTCGAACTAGTTGTTCTCATGTTAAAGTCGAATGCGAATTATACGCGAGTGAAAAGTTAAGACATATAAACCGATCTAACTACGACCATTTTGAATAATGAAATCAACGAAGTAAGAGGACATCGATAGTTTTCTAAAAAAAAAAAAAAAAAAAAAGCAAACGTATTAAGGTTCTTCGAGAAAGGATCATTATCTACGAGAGGTGCAAATTGAAATGAGAATAAAAAATGAAATTGAAACTTTGAACGTCCATTTAATATCGATAATAATAATTTAAGGGAGGATAAAATAAAACGAAAAAAAGAAAAAAAGAAGAAAAGAAAAATAAGAAACGAAACAAAAAAAGAAATAAAATAAAACAAGAGGAGAAACAATAAAGTTTAAAAAAAGATGTGGTTAAAGCTAGGTCTCTTTGGCGACTAAACAGTGATCTTAGCTCGAGCATAACGTCGGTAGTCCATAAATATTATTTTGGCTCGGATCTGTGTTCGCACGAGCCTTGTCGTGAGTAATGTACGTCGACCTCTTCACTGAGTGAAAGCGAACGGGAAGGGACTTTTCAAAAAGCACAACGTTAGCGTAACCTTCGAAATTAATAATAAAAGAACGAAGGTGAGAAACTGGATCCGTAGAAGAAAAATCAAAGTGACTATATAAAATAAGTGTCCAATGTGAACAAGTTGATCGGAGGGACCGATCGTAACTTCGACCCGTAAAGGATGCAGTAAAACGAGTGAATTATCGAGACAAGTGTCGCGGGAGTTAGCGAGATATTTATGTGACTAAGAACTCAAAGAGAATCTTCTTTACTGTTAACGAAGAATTATATCCCGAGGAAAATAAGTCTTCCGGAGAAAAAAAGAAATATGGCCGAAACAGAGAAGAAATATAGTTCGGCGTATGGAAAATTAAGAAGATTGACCAGCACGATCGATTGTCAAACGAGACAAATAAGCGTAAGTCGACTAGTTCCTAAGATGTTAATTACAGAAGAAAGAAAGAAAGAAAGAGGAAAAAAAAGGAAAGAAAAAGAAGGAAATAGAGAAAGGAAATGAAAGGAAGAAAATCCGTGAACGCTTTTCTCCAAATTACACATTCGCACAAATTTGTTTACCTTTCCTTTCCATCGATGCGGTCTTTCCGAGACGAATATTTTTCTACCGCTTTTACCATGCTCCCATTTCAAACTTTGCTCGTTCGTTCATTCTTTTTCGTTTCTCTTTTTAAAAAAATCAAAGCTTCACTTTCTCATCATGTGTATGTGTTTGTATGCATATATATGCGCGCGTTTATGTATACATATACGTGCATTTGCTTTCTATCGACAGAAAAAAATAATCACGATCGAAACAACGCATCGTAATTATGATCTCATTGAAAAGTTTCCTACCATTTACCAAATTCACAAACGTTCTCTCTTTTTTTTCTTTCGTCTAATATAAATATACCTATCATATAATATATAATCATTGTTCGATTAATGAATTCAGAGAATGTCCGACAGTGACAACAATTGTCTTGTTACGCTTTTCGCGAACTAAATGAAAATTAAAAGATAATTAGGAATAAATTCCAATAATGCATAAATATCAAAAATTTTCATCGTGATGATATCGATGAAAATTTAAAAAACAAAATGTACTTATTTGTTAAATATATTCTACTTACGTAATATAAATAAATTGTTTTTAAAACAAATTACGAAAAATATTCTTCATTAGATGGAGAAGCCTATGCAATATGATATGTTTATATACTTACGTTTCCAGAAATATTCGAGGTAAAGACAACGAGAAAGATTTGCCCGAGACGTTTCAAGTTTGATGTTGAAACTCCGTGGAATTTCATAAACGTACATACATAAGTATAAACGAACGATTATGTACAGTAAGATTCCACGAAGGTACCGATTCCTCTTAGACTTTTCATGAATTTATACGAATCTTTCTTCTTCCCTTTACTCTCTCTCTCTCTCTCTCTCTCTCTCTCTCTCTCTCTCTCTCTCTCTCTCTCTCTCTCTATCTATCTATCTATCTATCTGTCTTTCCTTCTCTCTTTTCCCTCTTCTATTTCTATCCGAAACTCGCTTGAAAACGACATGACCCAAATCAAAAAGCTCGACCTTGCCAGCCTCTTTTCGAAGGAAAAACTCCGAGGGAAATATCGAAATGTAGAAAAGCGAAGGAGGAAGAGGGGAAGAAAATATCTCGATAGTATTTCGTCCTTTTCCCTTGAAACTCTGAACGTCGAAGAGATATCTAAGTACTAACTCACGTAGGAGAAGAACGACCGAGCTGTGCTCCTTTTCCCACAGTACTTACGATCGACACGATGCACCTCTTTGATTCTCTTCTATCTATTTCCTTCATCCTTATCGTAAAGAAATCCTACTTTCACTACTAAGATTATGAATCGAGAATCAGTTATAGTTACAAATTTTATGAGCTCGAATTCTTCGACAGTAAAATATATCGCTGGATTATGGAGGATCGATGAATTATTTCGTACAAGGATTTTGGACTTATCTCCTGTATCTATGTATTTATGTATGTATATATATATATATATATGAATATATGAATATATGTAAGTATTGTATGTATGTATCTATGTACATGTGTATGTAAGTACATAGGATTGTCAGTGAAAATGAAAGATCGGCTCTAAGGACTAAGACTTATCTAATTAGTGTACAGCTCTTACATTGAATTACAAGAGGATATGCTTCTGAAGTATGCTTTAATTATACGATGACATTGATTGAAGAACAACGTTCTAATCCGATACATTATAATTTAATGTGATTGCATCAAAGTATATGTATTTTACCGATTAGGTTCTAAACTGTATTAGAATCTCATTTCAATCCTTATTTTATTTTTCAAGAATTTCAAATGGTACATGAAAGTTTTATTCTAAGGAACGTATCAAAGAATTACTTGTTTCAAGGAAAATGATGAGACGTTTCAGGTGTCATTAAAATTGTCCCATCCTATATCTTGTATCAGAATTTTCCTTTTAGAAAATTCAATTTATTTCGAAACATTAAAACGACGCGATGTTAAACAATTTTCTTTACTCGTTTAGTTTAGTCGATAAGATAGAAATAAGTACAAAGTATACGATCTAATAGTTTCACTTCATTATGGTTTCCCATAATTACTCGTTAATTTACGTGCTCGAAGGAAAATTTGTTTTATTTTGTCATAATAAAACATTGCAATTTTTCTTTTTCGAATTTCTGATTTCTTTCGTCTTATCGATTAACGACGTCATTGTATAAAGAAAATTAACTTAATTGATTTTATTTAATTATTATTATTATTATTATTATTATTATTATTATTATTATTATTATTATTATGCATGCATAATAATAATAATTACATAAAATATCCATATCTTTATATACGTTGTTTTTAAATTTCCGTGATTTTCGTAATCTCAAAGACGTTAACATTTAATTTATGATTAGAATGTTTTCGAGTGTCTTACAAGTTTTCATCAAGATATCGTATTCTTTGAGATTCTTTCTTTGAAATTGACATACTCATTATAATATCTAGATTTAATATGATAAATGGAACAGAAGAGAAACATTTCTCAAATGTTTTTACGGTTAGAATCTTAATTCAATTCGCTTTATAAATTTAACGAAATACGCAAAGAATGAATTAAAAACTTTAGCACTTTTTCACAGAAAGTTCTTTCATTATCAAAATATTTGATGCTATGCATATTTCATTAGCTAACTGTAAGGATATTCTTATTGGGCATACTAACTAATGTTATGGCAAAAATATTTCAACAAGTTTGTGCGATATCTGATAAAATATGAAAATAAACTATCGTATTTTTCATCGAGTTCTGCACGCAATCTGTTTCTTCTCTCCGTCACCGTCGGTAGATTATCGTTAAGTTATCGTGAATTATATGAACAGTGAGAATATTATAACGGAATGAATCATTTTAGAATATTTAATATCAATTTATCATAGAATCGCAATATGAATCGCGTAAAATTTCAATTGTATATCATATTTCAAATAATACGATTGTCCGTGCGATCTCGAGTTTCAATTCATAAGAATCAACTTGATATTGTGAATTTATCTTTCAGTGACATTTTTATAGTAAAAAAAGAAAAAAAAGAGAAAATGAAAAAGAAGAAAGAAAGAAAGAAAGAAAGGAAGAAAGAAAGAAAGAAAAAATTGTATGAAATGAAAAAATAACGAAAGATACGAATTTTACTTATTTTTAAATAGCGCCTATGTGACGCTACCGAAGCAACGTCCTCCTTATTAAAATCATGTCTACTAGTCGGATTTTTGACGATGAGAAAGACAAGGCGAGACGTTATTATAAGCTACATATATTAGCCGATAATGTCTGTGTATGTGTGCGACCTCTTAATTAGAGAACGAGCATCGTACGAAATGGATGAGGATTCTAACGAAAGAAGCCTACTACTAGGCAATCGGCCAAAAATCATCCTGTTTAGTTCCCTCGTTCCCTCTTTGCCGACTAAAAGATCAAGATCTATTCGAATTTAGTATCGTCTCAATAGCCACACTGTTATGGCAGAGTCAAGGAAATACACATACGAATATCGTAAGCTTCGACGGCTAACAAATCAAATCGATTGTCAGATCAGAAATATCTCTGTGAGTGTTCTACTTTCGAGAAATTGTGAAGCCATAAAAAGTGCTTTGTCTCTTTCACGCTTTCTCTCCCCCCTCTCTCTCTCCCTGTCTCTCTCTCTCTCTCTCTCTCTCTCTCTCTCTCTCTCTCTCACTCTCTCTCACTCTCTCTCCCTGTCTCTCTTTTTTTCTTTCACCTTTTTCAATCTCTATCGTTCAAACGAAAAAGCGCATCGGCTTTACTTTCGAACTATACGAACCGCAAGGACGAAATGTGGACACCGATATAATGGATATGGAAATGAAACCGTTCGCGATTGAACCGCAATATTTTTCGCAACGATACTGACAAAAGAATCTTGACAAGAAAGAAAAGTAAAATCGAACGTATGGTTTTACATATGTCGATGACATCTCCATTCCGTCGTTTTTCGATATAAACTTTTCCACGTTATTAAAAGCTCGAACATACGAGAAGATTGTTATCCTTTTATCAAGCAAAAATGAGAATACAAGCGGACAGGATCAATTGTATCGGTTCTTTTTTCTTTTTTTTTTTTTTTTTTTTTTTTCATCGTATCTCAGGAATCGTTTGTCGTGTATTTTTCTTTTTTTCTTTCTTTTCTTTTTTTTTTATTTTTTCTTTCCTTTTTTCTTTTTTTTCTTTTTTTTTTTTTAAAGTTCCTTAAACAAAGAAACGTAACAAAATCAACATCGAAAGCGACGAAACGTCACCTCTCTTAAGATTTCTTGATTCTATGAATGAGTCAATATAGTTTCATTAATAATAACAAAATGTAAGCTTTTAATTCGACAAACTTTAATAACGATTTAGCGTGAGAAATATAGGCGTGCGCGTGAAAATGGTATAAATTGACATAATAATGACGGTATTCGCGAGTCAGAACGTCGTCGTTAATTACGCGAACTTTACGAACGTCGTGCCACGCCCACTTGCTTGATTATATGCTTGTTTAGAACGCGAACTATCCCTCCCTGCCCCTCTCTCTCTCTCTCTCTCTCTTTCTCTATCTCTCCTTCTCTTTTCCTCTCTCAACCCGATTTTAGCATAACGTTGGTTTACGAGAATGCGTTTCGGTAGTAAATAGAAGTTGTATTCTATGCAGTAATAATCATTTGTCCGTTAAACTTCCCTTAGGAGTAACATCTCTATTTTCTAAAAGATTATTTTATACTCGTTGGAATAATTCAAATGTGTTCTTTTTTTTTTTTTTCTTTTTTTTTTTCTTTTTTTTTTTTTTCTTTTTTTTTCCTCTCTTCTCTTGCTTTGTTTCAGTCCGAGTATGGTCTCACGGAAGATCAAGTGGCTGGTAAGTTTGATATCATTATTTAATTATAAGAAATTTGTTCGATCATAAATGATTATTTGTGATTTGTAATTGAATGAAAATTTTGGCTTGGTTACGTAGCGAGAAAAATACCGCAGCTAGATTTCACCGGTAGAGCTCTATTTCGCTTTTGCATTCAGCTCAAGTATTTATATATGCAAATGTATGTAGTAATGGTGCAGCGCGTTGACTCCACCACTCAGTTGGCCACTCCTCGTACTTTTCTTTCTCTTTCGAATCGTACCAACGTGTTTATGTATGTATACATGTATGTATGTATGTTGTATGTATGTATGTATGTATGTATGTATGTATGTATGTATGTATGTATGTATATATTACGTGAGACTTTCTCAAGGTTTTCCTAATTTTCATCCTGTACAGCTAAGCATATTCGGCAGCAAGTTTTTTAATTACGAAAACGTTCGATATTTTTCAGCTGGCTAGGCTAAACGTAATCTTGCCTGCTAAAGTGGAATTGGGAACGTTTAGCATTTTTTCTCTAGAATTCGTCAAGATTTCGTTTGCACTTGCGTTTATCCCTTCAGATTACTAATTTGGTTTCGTTTAAACGAGCGAAGAACGAAATATTTTCTTTTTTTTTTTCGTTTCTTTCTCTTTTTCTTTTTTCTTTTTTTTTTTTTTCTTTTTAGAATTTTTTCTTTCCCTGCGAACGAGAAAAAAAATTAGAAAAAAAGAATTTCTTTAATCTTTAAGCCTTCGAAATGTTTTTTTTTTTTTGTAAAAATCCCTTTGCTAAAGTTTGTAGTCCGTTATGATTTTAATTATAACAATACGCTGAGATATCATTATAGACGGAGAAAGCAATTAACGTACCAAGGAAATGATTCTTAATCGCGATAACAAAAAGTACATCGTTTCTACGTCGCAAACCGACATCGTTGCTTTTTCGGCGCGTGTTGCTCGTTTCAATAAAATCTTTCAGACTTTTTTTGTCTTCGGCGGCACATAGCCAGAGATCGAATCGATTAAATTCGCGTGTCTTCGAAGTATGAGAAGAGAAACGTCGCCCGACGTTTGCTATTTTATAAAGTCATGAAATGGGAATTGGATAAAGTACACATGTGTGTGTGTGTGTGTGTGTGTGTGTGTCTGAGTATATCTATATGTGTTACGGATCTCGCGTATATTTTCTCTGACGATAGTAAAAATTCGTATCTATAGATCGACGCGACGTAGAATTTTTTTTTCTTTTTTTTTTTTATCTTCTCTTCTCTTCTTTCTACATATCGAAACACTCGCTACGTATTCATTTTATTAATAGCAATGCTTACAATATTACCTACATATTTATTAAATCTGTAGAATTCTGATTGGCTGTAATATTAATACGTTCAACTAATTAATTAATGAATACAATGGATTGATTGATATCAACAATAAATAAACGTAAAAGTTTAATTTATAATAGTAACATTAGTAAAATAATGAATGTAATGGCTTGAATAATATCATTGAGTAAGTATCTAATTATATCGATTGTTTATTTTTGTTTATATTTCCCAACCACCCATCCAATCGCCCACCTATCCAATCCCCCATTTTCTTCTTTGCAGAATTCAAAGAAGCATTCATGCTGTTCGATAAAGACGAGGATGGAACAATCACCATGGCTGAACTTGGTGTGGTCATGCGATCTCTGGGACAGAGACCGTCCGGTGAGTAAGAATTCTTTTTATGCAGACGTACGATTTATGTTTATGCGTATTGGGTGCATGCGCGCACAAATATTCGGACGACGTTATTCGTAGGCTAGAAGGTAAATACGATCTGGCTTTCAGCCATACTCTCTGATGAAAACTTAGCCTGGGCAAAATATCTTTACTGTGAGGATAGATCTCTCGAAATCTTTTTTATTCCTTTTAATTACAATTTCCTTTATAATTATCGATTGATCGTATCGATCAATCGAAAATTATTAACATATTGTTTCTATTATTTTCATCGTTATTTATTCATTCATTTATTTAATTATTTATTTAACGAATTCTTGTATAATAATTGATTATTTACGAATAATAAATATGTAATAAAGAGAATAAAATAATGTATATGATATATAACTATTGTATAATAAGTGCGAAATATCTAGGAATATCTAAGAAAGAGTTTATTTAATGGGATAGTTAAAAAAAAAAAGTAGCCGATAGAACTGTCGAGTTGTTGCATAAAAAAGTTGACGAATGAAAAAGGTATCTTTTCGTCTCTTAAAAAAAAAAAAGAAAAGAAAAAATTTCTTAAATAATGATACAGAGAATAATTCATTATAGACTGATTGTTCATTATCATTTCATCCATTATAGACAAAAGAATGTCAGCGTTGAAATTACATGTCCACAAAACCTTACAATCTAGACAATCCATTTAGCGAGAAAGATCGTGTCTGAGAGCTATATTTGTATAAATAAAGCGAGTCCACTTTGATCATGTAACAACTTTCTTTTTTATAGAAAATTATGTGTCTGTGTATATATATATATATATATATATATATATATATATATATATATATATATAAAATTCTTACTCGTGACATTTTGTGTTTAATCAAAAATGATTGAGAAATAATAATTGAAAATTTGTCGAGTTGAACATAGTAATTAGAGAATTTCTATGATATATTTTTTATACATTTTAGATACGGAACTACGAGATATGGTGAATGAAGTGGATCAAGATGGTAATGGTACCATCGAGTTTAATGAGTTCCTGCAAATGATGTCAAAGAAGATGAAGGGAGCAGACGGGAAGGACGAATTACGCGAAGCGTTTAGGTGATTCTCGAGCTAATCGATAGTTACAAAAGTCGGTTATGTCACTAGAGAATTTTTTTCCCTTTCTAATTACTTTTGTTCTTTTTCGTTTTTATTTTTTTGTCTTTTCTTTATCTTTTTCTTTTGTTTTCCCCCCTTTTCTTTTCCGGAACTCGACTTTTCTCTTTTTCCGGAAATTAATTCGATAATTATTTCCGTCGTACAGAGTATTTGACAAGAACAAAGACGGCCTGATCTCATCGAAGGAATTACGGCACGTAATGACGAATCTCGGTGAAAAATTGTCGGAGGAAGAAGTCGATGACATGATCAAGGAGGCGGACTTAGATGGTGATGGAATGGTTAACTATGAAGGTAATTATTTTTAATGACTTTCGAAGATCGTTATCGTGAGTCGACGATGAACGTTCTCGTTGGCATTAAAAAAAAAAAAAAAAAGAGGAAAATAAAAATAATAAAAAAAAGTATAATAAAAAACAAAATTGGATAAAGACTCCTTGCGACGATTTTCAATCAATATGCTAAGCAATATATATATACTCAATATTATTTCAGAATTCGTGACAATTTTGACGTCGAAAAATTAGTTCGTTGGTCGTCTAATCCGACGACGATGTTGATGGAGAAGAAGAAAAAGAAGAAGAAGAAGAAAAAGGAAAGAAGGAAGCACGCAAAGTTCCTCGCCAGGATCGTAGATGGAAAGAAGGACGTTTATTGCGATATCCTAGCATTCAGCAGCACCAGCAGCAACAACAGCAGCAGCAGTAAAAGAAGCAACCACAGCAGCAACAATGTCAAAATCATCGTCCTAAAAGTAACTAAATGAGCGTGTCGAGTCAATCGAAAATTCTCGTCGAATTTATCGATTCTTCGCGTATGAAATTAAAACAAACAAACAAACAAAAAATAAAAAAGATTAAACAAAACAAAGGAAAACAAAGGAAAAAAAAGAAACATTGAAAAAATATGATGATGTTCGCCGATCTTTTAAAGGAAAAACATGTGTCCGCACGCGCGAAAAAGACACAATACACACATACACGGTACACGAAAAAAGACGATACGCGTACACACCTCGCTTCCTTTGGAAGGAAATGAAGAAGATAGAAAGAACGAAGAAAATTTAGAAAGATTCCTAAGTAAGAACGAATGTCTATGAAAAGAAAGAGAGAGAGAGAGAGAGAGAGAGAAAATGGAATTAACAAAGCGAGGTGGTCGTTCCCGAAACAATCAACTGAGCTTCGTTTAACATTTACCTACTCTACTTAATGCTAAAACGTAAAAGAATAGTTGTTACGAGTACCATTTAGGAAAAATTCAGATAAAAGAGAAACATCCTTGAATCCAAATCCTCGAATCCTTTTCCCTTTTTTTCCTACCTCTTTCCCATTCCCCTTTAATAATTAATACGACTTATGATGTGAGAAAAAAATAAAACTATAGTTAGGTCGTGTAAAAGCGGGTTTATTATTAGCATATGCGGTTGCCGTTTACGTATGCTATTATTTCCCAGGAGCAAACTTGTAACCTCTCGAGGCATATGTGTTACCGCTAATTTCCCTCCCATTCCTCTTATCCACAAGCGTTCCCTATCCTTCACCGACTCTCTCTTCCTTAGATTATATATGTATATTCTTGGTGGACGAGGCTAATATAAGTTTAATGAAAAAGAAAAAAAAGGAGAATAAGAAGAGATAGGAAAGGAATAATAATAATAATAATAATAACAGGAACAAAAAATAGAGAAAAAACAGAAAAATAAAAACAAAAAAAAATGAAGATTACGATAAGGACCGATTTGGGATATTATCACTTGTCGATTCGCTTTTTCGAGTGACTTGAGCGTGAGAGCGTGCAGCAGCTATGTATATTAGTCGACATTTTTACAGTAAAAATTATTACACGAAAGGCAGTCGCAACCTCGGACGGCAGACGACTACTATTACTACTACCACTTACTACTATTACTAATACTACTACTACTACTACTATTACTACTACTACTACTATTATTACTATTATTACTATTCTATTATTACTATATTACTATTTCGGTAATATTGCGAGCAGCAGTTTTTTCAAAGGTGTTCAAACGTCGTTGTCAATCGCATAGCCCCCTTTATATCCGACGAGGAAAAGAAAGTTAAAAGAATTCCATGAGCGCGTTGATCGCCTTTTTCTCGAGTATATATATACATATACGTATATGTATGTATGTATAAGAATTTGGTAAAAAATGAAATAAAAGTGAAGACGGAAGAGAGAAAGAGAAAGAGAGAGAGAGAGAGAGAGAGACAAGTGGAGCAGATTTCCTCAAAAATGTATATAGATCAAAATATAGCAGAATCTACGGTACGCACAAGTTTCAGCTTTTCTCGCTTTACGATAAAGAAAAAAAAGACATAAAAACAAAAGGGATTAGAAGAAGAAGAAAAATAAAATAATAGAAAATAAAAAAAGGAAAATAAAATAAATCCTAGTTTTCATCTCGCTCATTGTTAATGTTTCGTACGCCACACTTGATGAAAGGACAAACCTAGAGAGAGAGGAAGAAAGCGACAGAGAAAGACAGAGAGAGAGAGAGAGAGAGAGAGAAAAAGACGATCAAAGAGAAACGACGTGCTTCCTTCGAGAAAAGAAGAGAACGAGAAAAAGCAGAAGAACAAAAGCTTTCTCCTTCTGCTTTAACCTCTGCCGTCGCTAAATTTGTCTCTTCTTCGTTTGCTAAATTATCAGCAAAACGTGTCCCCCGACAATTTGCGGCGAAAGGTGATCAAGAACAACACGCTCGGCGCTCACTATCCTCCTCTGTCTCGATGTTCAAACTGTGAAAAAAAAGAAACAAAAAAAAAAAAGAAAACCTAAGAAGAACGAAGCATACTTTTATGATTATATTATAAATAATTGTATTGATTGTGCACACCTCTCCCATTTCTGGCTCTAAAATTCCTTAGAGAAGTACCATTCCCGCTCAGTCCATCATCCTTGCCCCTTCAATAAAAAGTCATTAATCCGTAGGACTATTATTAACGAGAAGTTAGTTTGAGATACTAGAGACAGTCCTATAGTTATAATAAAATACGTACACGTAAAGATTCAATAAAATTGCATTATACACCTATGTATCTATATATTATATATATATATATATATATATATATATATATATATATATATATGTATATATATATACACGTATATACAGATGTTATTACCATAAGGTCAGAACAGGTACATTTTATTGGATTATATTCATATATTTAGTATAACACAACAAATGAAAAAAAAACAAACAACTTATATATATACACACACACATGCATTACATACGTACGTAAATTATTATTATTATTATTATTATTATTATTATTATTATTATTATTATTATTATTATTATTATTATTATTATTATTATTATTATTATTATTATATACATATATGTATACATATATATATATATAAACAAAAAAAGAATATATATATTATATTACATACACGATAGTAGTGTACGTCGGTGTTATACTGGCATTGATATTTTTATGGTTTTAAACAAAAATAGTTCAAAAATGAGAGCGAAAGGAAGAGCGAAAGAGAAAATGTGTATATATGAAAGAAAGAAAGAAAGAGAGAGAGAGAGAGAGAGAGAGAAAGGGGAAGAAAAAGGAAGATAATTCCGACTATTATAATTATGCAAACGATATAAAAGGCGTTTGTAAAATTAACCCAAAAAAGAAAAGATTTGGGCGAGAAATGAAGGAACGAGCGTTGATACGTAAATAAGCATGTATTATCACGTGTGTATTTTTGTATCGTGATAATCTACTTCTTGTATCACGATAGCGAATGAGCAATTATTGTCCGCATATGAGAAGTCGAGAAAATATTGAAAAGATTAAAACGTGGATTATCATTGAACCGTTGATGATGTTTATAGCGCGGTGATTTCACGTACATACATAGATGATAGACAATAATTAAGTTCTTTAGTTTAGGAGACACGATACATTACATATATACATACTTACATATATAGAGAAAAAGAAAAATTAAAAAAAGGGAGAGAGAGAGAGAGAGAACGAAAGAACGAGAGAAAGAGAGTATGAAAGTATCGATTATAATTATCAAAAAGACAAATGCAATGCTTGAATGTTTGGTAATGTAAATTCATACTGCACAAGCATGGCTGCGTATTTCATATTATTATTTTTATTTTTGTTTTCTTTCTTCTGGATTGTTTATTGAAAAAAATGATATGATAATAATGGTGACGAGAAAAGAAAGAGAGAAAAATATAATATTTAAAAAGGTATCATTCCGATGCGATTTATTTCTCTTTTAGAAAAAATGAGACTCGTCTTTTATCATTCAACGCTTTTAGCCACTTTCTTTTTTGGGTTAATATTGATATCATGTTTCTAGAAAGTCGTGTGAAATCTTTGAAAATATAAAAGATGATATGTAAAAGGCACAGAAGAAGAATGAGAGAGAGAGAGAGAGAGAGAGAGAGAATGTAGAGACAACGGGCGTATTTACCTAATATTACGATCGTCGTTTACTAGCCATTCTCGTATCCGCGTTTTATGCTTACCAATTGCATCTAAATATCCATTAAGTTGTTCCTTTTCTTCTTTATCTTTCTATCAAGATTAATATCGTTCAAATAAAGCGTAGCTTTCCCATTACGAAACGATTTTCATGTACACGCGAGATCTTAATCGGCATAATTTATTATTTTCTCTCTCAATTCTCTTTTCATTATTTCATATAATTAATTAATTAATTAAACTCTAATAATGATATATTTATATAACGCGGTGGGCTCGTAAACGATGTATAATAACTATACCCTATAGTAAAGTTTACGGCTGTGTGTAATAATAACGATATTATCACATAGTAATGGCAAATGATATATAAACAAATGAAGACGCTCGCTTTGGCGTTTACAAAAAAAAAAGAAAACAAAAAAAAACAAACAAAAAAAACAAAAAAAAAGAAAGAAAGAAAGAAAGAAAGAAAGAAAGAAAAAGAAATAAAAATATAAAGATGCGGATGAAGAGGAGCTTGATAAGCTATCACAAATAGTAATGTATAACGTCCCGAAGACAATATAGGTATTTCTCTAACGATTTCTATGTGCGAAACAAAGCTTGACTTGAATCGCGTTGATGGCCTACGTTTTTTTATCAGTCGTTTTAATCGGATCGATTCCGTTGATCGTAGAATCGCGATTATTAGAACGATTAAATCAAAATCAAAGAAGTATAGAAGCGAGATATTTTCGTTAATTATTATTATAATTATTATTTTTTTTTCTTTTTTTTTCTTTCTCTTAAAGGACAATTATTGAGAAAATGTACCGCGATTTTCACGACACGGACCGACTCCCGGTGATATCGAATTGGAAATTTTATCCTCGCATTTAAACGCACGATCTCTCGTAACGCGCTCGTGTACTTCGCGCTCTAATCGCCAATATTTTCTTTTTTTTTTTCTTCTGCTATGGGCGATAAATTTTGCTTTAAATAGGGTAACAGCATTTCTTCATTTATTTACGTTATTGAACTTTGATATTTGTGTATATGTATGCGCCTTATTTAAATAGATTATATTTAAATAGATACCGAAAGAAAAGCAAAATTTATTGCTTCGTTTTGAAAGCATCGATTTTGAATATAAAGAAAGAGAGTGAAAGTTAAAGAAAGAGAGAGTGAAGAAGTATGTGTGTGTGTGTGAGTGATAGAGAGAGAGAGAGAGAGAAGGAGGGAAAGAGAAAAGGTAAAACAAGGTTTCGTTATTCAGCTGCATAAAAATGAATAGAATATTTTTATAAGTCGTTTCTTGCGTCAGATCTTAAGCATACATACATTA